GAGGTTATTATTAGGTTAGTATGCAAGTATGTAAAATCATAGAGTACAGAAAAATGTACTGTTAGATACCAGTACTGAGTACCAGGCACCGGTACTGGATCAAATATAAGCGGTACTCAATGCATTTACATGCTGGTTACTTTAAATCTGTGTATATATGCAGCAAATCAGTAATAAAATGTATCCTCTATCCTTAACCTTATTTTGGAAGCAGTTCTTAATTATTTTACTGAGTGAAGTAAACAAGTGAAGGTGCTGTGAGAGGAGGACAGACAGACAGAGCACAGCACGCCCACACAACACCTATGTGTCTGAATTTAACAAAAGTCAAATGTTCAGCTGTGGAAACTGACCTTTTTAGACTTCTACAGGCTACTTTGAATTAGTTGAGGTTTTAGTCAGACTTTAGATGGAATTATTTTAAACACAAAATGCATCACATGTAATTATCTCTCCTTTCTCTCCAGCGTGAACAGAAAACCTGCACTATGAACCTGGGGTGCAGAGTCTGAAAGACACAAACATTTACCAATGAAAGATGCTCTCCAGTTAGGAGTTTGGAGATATCAAAGAGTCAGGATCACTGGAGTGTCCTTTAAAAACTACACTCATAGCTTGACATGTAGAAATGCTCAGTTCTTCCAAAACCAACAGCAGAGCACAGAACTGATTGGTGGATCAGCAGTTAAATTGAAAATGGGAAAACATTCATTGTGAAAATAGACAGCTTTATTGAACAGAGTGTGTGTGTGTGTGTATCATCTGATGTAGACAGGGTTCTGGCTGAAGTCCAGTGAGTGCAGGGCGGTGGCCAGCACTGCGTACAGGTGAGAGCTGCTGAACCTCAGGCAGTACACCGGACTGCTCACCGGGTCTGTGCTCAGCTGGAAGAACTGCAAACAGCATTACGTTTATTGTTTCACATCTGGAATTCAGCTCATAAAACCTTGTTTTAAACTCTCACTGTATATGTCCTGGGGATATATGTACACACCTGCAGGCATTCAGTCTGCCGTTTGTCCCAGAGTCTCACGACGCCGTAGTACGAGGAGCCGCTGGCGATCATGTGATTTCCGTCTGTCTGGATGCAGTACAGAGCGCTGTCATGAGGCTCCTCCCACTCCATCACACACTTCCTGTTGGGAAGGATGGGAGAGTTTGATGAGATGAGTAGAGATGAAGAGGATATTTGTTTTTTTCTGTAGCAGCACGTAATGACTTGTTGAAGATGCTTCTTCCTTGGAAGAATCTTCACAAATGAACTGCAGTGTGTCTGGGGTTTTACTGACAAAGAGGCGATGGGAGGCCGTGATTTTTAAGGTGGAACTGCTTTATTTACTGTTTTTAGGTTGGTTTTTCAGCGGGGTCTGTTTGTTTGGGAGGAGGAGGAGACCTCTGTGAGAAACTGTGCTCTCGTGAAGAAACCGTCCTGAACTTATGAACACTGAAGTTGGATCCTACCGGGAGAAACTGACTGCAGTAACAGCAATGGTGGAGAAGACAACTCCCAGGGAGATTATGATTACATTACATCTGCCTTAACCATACACCACCAGAACACCTCTCTGTAGACCTTTTCAACAGATTTATTTTTCTGCAGGGGGATCAAAATGCACTGGACAAAAAAGCTGCAGTGCATAGTGCAGTAATTACGCAAACACAGTTCACACAAATGAAGCACAATGAACGAAAAACTCCTCCTGAGACATGTAATCGTTGGTCAACTAAAGTAAACTATAGTTCAGATGTTAGCTAGCTATTCATTTATCCGTGTTAGTAAGCAAGCTAGCCAGCTAAAAGCACAATCAGACGATATGGGCGGCTGTGGCTCATAAAATTACTTAAAATAAAAGTTTCAAACAATGTGAACTGCAACAACACAGGTGAGATCACATCTCTGTGTGTATGTTGTAGAGGTTTGGAGACAATGCTGAAACTCCATCTCTTGTTTACAGGAAAACCCAATACTGTAGTTAACAAGGAAGTGTGTGTGTGTGTGCAGTAAAGCAGGGTGGTGGTGGCTGTGGTTAGGAGAGGGGAAGTATTTTGGGGATAAGTATTTTCTGCCAATAGACATCGATCCTCCATTAGTGCAGCCTCATCAATAAGTGATGGAGAGACACCAGGGGCAGACAATGGGGCAGCAGAGATGTCTGGAGGTCTCTCTCTCTCTCTCTCTCTCTCTTACACACACACACAGAGATAAAACATACAAATGCACACCTCTATGGGGGAGGTCACCCACTGTCATCCTGAAAGTGAAAAACACAAACGGTACACACACACACACACACAATTCCCTTTGAATTCTGATTTAATCTATACTCGCAATATCAGAATTGCATATAAAACATAATTGAGAGATAACAATCCAAGATGTGTGGCTAGGTGAAAGGTAGGGCTTCAACTAACCATTATTTATTGATCAATCTGTACATCATTTTCCTGATTAATCCATTAGTTGTTTGGTTCGGAAAATGTCAGAAAATGGTGAAAAATGTCAATCAGTGTTTTCCAAAGCCCATGGTGTTTTGTCCACAAAACAAAGATATTCAGTTCACTGTCATAGAGGACTAATAGAAACCTGAAAATATTCACATTTGAGAAGTTGAAATCAGAGAATGTGGAAATACTTTTCTTGAAAAATGACTCAAAACGATAAATGGATTATCAAAATAGTTGGCAATTACTTTAACAACTAATCAGTAAATTGACTAATCGTTGCAGCTCTAGTATTAGGTGAAATTATGTTCCTGATATTATTATGGATAATAATGATTAATTAATTATTTAATAGGTAGTTTCTGATATATAAAAACAAAATCACACATAAAACAATCAAACTGAT